CCCCCTTATGGCCAGCCTCGAGAAAAATGATTTGTTGTGTCTTGTACTTATGTAGTCACACTTCATTTATTCAGAGATTTAAATATATTTTTTGATCTGATTGAACAATCTCAACCCGATGAACATGGATTACACCAAAACTCACTAAGTCATCTACGATATTAAGTGCTTCCCTAGAAAAAAAACATGAGCCACACCATTAACTTCTCTACCGGTGTAACAGAGAGTGAATCCCTGGAACTGGAAGATTAGCTAGTATTCGAACAACTTCTGAGCACAGATCACTAGCTATCCTTATTTTATCTGGATTTGTTTGATCCAAAAGACCAAATATTTTTTCAGAAACCAACCTCGCAAATCCCGAAACAACCAATAAAATTGCATATCATAAGGGGCCAGAAAGAGATGTGCGAGTGCTCTCCATCAAAACACTCACTACAAGGAAAAAATTACTGACACTAAATATAGAGTTTTTGCTCCCTGGATACCGATCCGTCTCGTTCCTCATATCTCTTCTCTGGTGACACAAGCAGATCACGCAAAACACGTCGTTAGCCCCCTCCTCACCCAGCTTGGTTGATGCGCAACAGCAAGCACCAAATCTTGCCAGTTGATCGTTTTCGGTGTGCTTGCATTTGTGAGTGGCGTGGCTGGAGGTGGCTCTGCGCGGCGGTGGCATGGTTACCACAACAAGAGGGGGGTTGTCCTGGCCCATGGAGTTCTTGTCGGTGTTGACCGACTGCATGAGGGTGGTAGTTGCGCAGATCCGAACACTGATGCTTGTCGTCTACAATGTCAGGATCTGCAGGTGTCGTTACCTCTTTAAAGGCGCCGTCGGGGATATTTTGTGGATCATCAGCTCCCGGGTCTATTCAGGCGGAAGTCAAGATCCTGCTATAGGGTTGGGAAACACTGTTGTCTCCAACGTAGTATTAAAGAGGGGATCATCTTGAACATTTGATCCCACTTGCGCTTCATGCATGTTGGATGTGCACAATCTTGTGGTCGCCAGTTGCCCGACCAATGGTGTAGGATGTTGGTGTGGTGGCTAGTGTGCCAACGATGATGGGGTCGAGCGGTGAGGTTTTGGTACTTGACTTCTCGGCGTGTCTGCCGGGGCCTATGTTTGTTCTCATGTTGGGGAGTTTGGTCTGCCATGGAGCTGGAGTTGTACGACGTGATCCAGGTGGCAACAATGACTATCGATGGGTAGTCTTTCATGATCCATTGTGACACGAACCTCGCATATCTCCCTTCCGCCCATTCATCTTGAAATTAGAGCTGCCTAAATATTTTTGCGGGCGGCTAGTTGTTTGGCATAGGCCGACCTTGCTTCACATGGCTACTGAGATGACAATTACAATCGTGGTGGATGCTAATAGTTTTCACCCGGTTTTTTGCTAACAAACCAAGAAACTCATATGCCTTCGATCTCCGTCTGGAAAAAAACATAGATATGCCATTGGGCAGAAAGTATGAGCAAAAGATCATGGACCCTGCGTACGCTGCGATGGGCATGCCTATATGTGAGGGATATACCCCGCGGTGTAAACCGGCCGGAAGTTAACCCGGCCAGACTTGGCGGTTTACAAGCAACCCACCTGGTCATTATGACTCACTAATGATCCGGCGAGCAGGACAGACGGATGATAAGGCCCAAGGCCCAGAAGGCCGGTTCACGTTTAACAGTGGGCCGGTTTAAGAGGAAAGGCATGAGGAACGTTTATCTTACAAGGAGTTAAGACCTGTACTTGTATCCGGTTTGTATTAGAGATAGACTAGTCATAATCCTAAGAGGACTCCACATGTAAACCGCCCCTTCAACATATATCACTAGTAGAAAAAGGGTCAAACGTGAAGCACATTAGTGCCGGTTTGAATTAGAGCCGGCACTAATGTGTACATTAGTGCCGGTTCGTGGCGGCGATCAATAGTACCGGTTCGTGGCGAACCTTTAGTACCGGTTCATGCCATGAACCGGTACTAAAGAGGCTGTGTTAGCCTACGGTCAGGCTATGGCCCCACCATCACCATTTAGTGTCGGTTCGTACCATGAACCGGCACTAATGAGGTTATGGCAAACTGTTTTTAGTCCCACCTCGCCAAGAGAGAGGTAGTATGAGCGGTTTATAAGCCGTGAGTGCACAGACAATGAC